TTTACTGGCGTGTCGTTTTAATTAATAGATAATCTCCATGGCAATGCTATTGGGACTGTACGAACAGTTCATTTCGTCTGGAAATCGTTGCGTTGTTTATTAACTTTTTGTCCCACGGTGCATTGTGGGATGGATACATGACATGGATGTTTTAACTTCACGGTGCTCACGCAGACGGAAATCAACTTCTCCTTGTCGCTATAACATGCGGAGAAGGTGATTTCCCTCTGTACGTCTAGTCTAGCCATGGATTCCTCTCTATGATCTAGGCTAGTGCGTGATGTTCATCGGTTCGCCTTGAATGACTGAGACCGAGGCTGTTTGTAGCGGACATTAACATGACAATAAACAGAAAATAGCGATCTTGTTGACATTATCTGTGTGAAATATTTTGTAAAGACATCGTTAAGAGGTGAATGATTAAAGCTTTAGGTATTTCGTCAGACTTTCATTGACATTTTAACTGGTCACGCGGACTTGTTATTGGGATAATTAACAGGTCCGCCATGCATTTTACTAGCCATTGGCCGGCGGACCAGCGTTATTTCGAACCCTGAGTATATTTTAATAGGGCTCCAATTCGTCTATATCACAATTCTGCCTGCAAAGCATTATGGGTATTAAGCACTACTCTGAAAAGTAGCAAGTGCACGATTTATCATCGAAGTTCAGAGTGGTGGGGGGGGGGGTGTGGCGTGGTCCGGAAATTTTTTTTTTCTAGATGCCAGGAAATGGCCTCTCCTGCATCTGTTCTCCTCTGTTTATGAATATATTTTATTAAACAAAATAATGTTGTTTTTTGTAAGATTTTTTGGTTTTATTCAGCTGGACATAATGTTGAGTTGTACCATAGTATACTAATATGAAAGTAATAATTTGTAATTAAGTGAATTTATTATTTAAAAAAAATCCAAAATGACTGATATCATGACATTACTGAAGTACAGTAAAACATTTTGTTTCTGCAAGGTAGGAATTGTAGTAACAGGCCGGGCATGGAGTACCGTCTGTTTCACATACTGTGGAAAATAATAAATAGAAGTACTGTATATAAAGGTACTTGTTGCATTTGTGTGGTTGCTCCCGGATATAATCTGCTACAAACTCATCATGAGCTGGAATCTGAAAAATAACAATATAAAAACAAATAAATAAAAGCATCACTAAACATTTTTGGACAAATCTGGCTAGGTCTGTATTAATAATCCAGTGAAAAACGTATATAATGTATTTAATTATTATATTTTTATAATTATTATTATTTGTATATTATAATAATCAAATCATTGCAATATGTATAAGCTTATATAATTTAATAATTGAAAAGAACAATCCTACATACATGTAAGTATCAGTAATTAACAATTCTACATATATTTAATACCTTTTTTAAAATGGCCCTCAGCCTATAGGTCTTCAACGTGTGGCTGGACATCATCTTCAGCTACATGATCATCATGATCGCTAAAATCATCATCTGGAAAAAAATTAATGATTTTTCTTTAAAGCTTTAACAAATACTATATTACCAGTAGTAATTACAGTACTACTCCTAGGTGACGCACATGTGCGATGTACATGGCGGATTTTGTCGCCCTGGCAGCTTTTTAAACCCCTGTATTGAGGTGAAACAAACTTTTTGATCGTAGTGATTTTTTTTTGTGATTTTTGCAATTTTTATCTTTTAAATTTCTATATTGAATACCTTTTGCATGTAACTGTGTTGTGCTTTGTTTTGTGAAATGTTGTTTATCTTTGCTTAATTTTGTTAGATTGACGCAATTCAGTTCAATACTGCAATGTCAATTTTTGTTGTTTTTTTAATAATAAACTAGAATAGAATAGAATTATTTCCACGATATGCGAAATCTCTGGCTTAAATCCAAGATGGCGCAGGCTCGAGATGCTAGCTTGCGGAGCACAGTGCTCGGCACTGATTGATATCCTTGATATATGGCCTACTGTATGCTTCGGCAAAGCCCGGAAAAATTCTAAGCATGGGAAGTGACCAAAGGGACGACCAGAAAAAAACAGTGCAAAAAGATAATAAAATATGCAAGAAAAAAAAAAATCAGAACAAAAACAATGGATTTTCCCAGTACTGCTGGGAAGAGCCAATAATAATAATATGATATAATAATAATAATTTTAATATTGGTTGCATTTTTGTCCTTTCAACCTGTTTCCTTTAGCTGTTTTTGTGATGTGGGTCCTTTTTGTTGAACAATTTTAAAATGTTGATTGTTTAGATTTTTCTGCTTCAACCCTTTACTTTTGGAAAATTTAACCCATTTTGAGTGTTGCAATAAAGAATAATTTGATTTGATTTGAATCTGAGACCAAGTCTGAGATCCCCACGTTTCAGCTTACACAGAGCATGCACAGAGGCAGGCAACTGAGCTAGCTGCTCTGTACCATGGTTATAAATCTATAAGGTACCATTTCAACATTTAATAATAGGCTCTATTACACTATTTAAAATTTATAAATGGACAAAAAATTTACTTTCGCCATAATAATTGTAAGCCTACGACTTCTAGATCCCTTTTTATTCGGGTAATCTAATAGGGCTTGAAAATATCAATGTAACAATGTTTAATTAACAAAATTCATTGACTATATTTAATCACGTGTCACTTCGATAACACAAATTATGTTGCTCGAAACATGATAAGGCCAACTGAATAAAATGACCATCGTCCTTTAATTTCAGCAAAATCCAAGAAGGTCATTGTGGAGCCCCTGGTTGAGTTGGCATGGAATGACTCATAATTGGATTTTACAGGACAATATATGAAAACTACACCGTTTCTGATGTGTGTGTCAAAACATTATTCAGTATTGGAAGAGCTTTCCAACAATAACAAACACGACTACTTTTGGTGAGTTTATATACTTATTCTTATTTTAAGTATATTTTGCGGTTATTTTAAAACAAATAAACACCTATTTTTGAATTATGTTCTATTGTGGCTTGAGTGACAGTAGTTTTTATGTCTAGTTTGTTGCCTGTCATATTTTATGAGGGTCAAAAGTCATTGACCCTGACCTAAAATAATAATAGTGTAGTTTTATGTAGCGCACATATCTATCTAATGTAAGATGCTCAGGGCGCTTGATACTAATACATGTATCTGTCTTAGGAACACTTTATGGAATATGGTTGATCTTGGTGTCAAAATGCAGATAATTATACAGGGGTGTACAGTATATATGGTGGGCTGGGCCACCCAGTCTAAAGCTAATTTCATGGACCTCCACCTACCCTTATTAACTTACTTTTCCATCCTTAAAATCCGCTCTTATTATTTAGAGTTTACCAATGTTATCACACACCCACCCCAAAATGTTTTATCAACCACCCTTAATTTTTATTTCGGCTACAACCCTGTTAACATTGAACAATTAGCAGGGCTCCCAAGTCTCCTGGAACACCCGGGAGTCTCCCGGATTTTCGACCAATCTCTCGGGCTCCCGGAAATCATACGTTTTCTCCTGGCATAAGAAAATAAAATAAATAACCTTCATAATCAATGCATGATCTTGCAAAATGAGGTCAAAGGTCAAATTGTCAAAAATGGTTGTTTTACTCACTAAAATGGCATATCATTTCAAAAATTAAAGTGAAGGCGATTTCAACTGACTTACAGTTATTATGTAGGAATACATCTAGGATACACCAAAAAAGGTTCGGGGGAGGGGTGGGAAAGTAGTTTTTTGGTGTTAAAGGTCAAATTGTGCTCGAATTATGTATTATGATTTTTCATCTGCATTTAATACAATTCAACCTCATCTTTTATTTGACAAATTAGTTCGCATGAATATTTCTTTTCCCTTAATCTCCTTAGTTTTTGATTTTTTGATTAATCGTTCTCAGTTCGTAAAGTTAGGTAAAGACGTAAAGTCAAATACAATTAGGTCCAATACGGGCGCTCCTCAGGGAACTGTACTTGCCCCCTTTTTATTTAGCCTCTACACGGCTGACTATAGATCAGCACATTGTATGTGCCCTGTTATTAAATTTGCTGACGATACAGCTATGCTTGGACTTATAAATAATGACGATGATACCGACTATGTTCAGGAGATTAAAAGGTTTTTAAATTATTGCGACGACAATTATCTAGAATTGAACACATCTAAAACAAAGGAGATGATTATTGACTTTAGGAAAAGGACGAGTGATGTTAGTAAGATTTTCATAAAAAATAAAGAAATTGATCGCGTAGATAAATATAAATACCTTGGAGTTGTATTCAATGATTCGCTTACATTGGATGATCATGTCGATTCTCTTATAAAGAAACTAAACTCTAGAATGTATTGTATGAGNNAGGCTGAGGCCTCCGATTGTCCACACCAATCGTTATTCCTGTTCATTTATTCCTGCTGGGATTAAACTTTTTAATGCACATTTTAAACGTTAATTTTATGAATATTTTTTTTATGTGATTGTACATTGTTTTTAAAAGTTTTATGCGAGCATTCAGTTTCCTTCGTTGAAGGATGAATAAAGTTTTACTTTGACTTTGGCCCAACCTAAAACACTTGGGAATACTCTATGGTATTTTGTTGATTTTGGTGTAAAAATGCACAGAATAATACAAAAAAATATATAGATATACCGTAGTTCCTCAGGTATAGTCTCACCTCGGGTATATCCAGCCCCAAACTTTACGCCCAACTCTGTGTGCAGACGTTTCCCCGGGCAAAGTCCCTGGGTATAATTTAGGTGAGTAGGTCTAGGTCGGCAAATTTAACAAATGCTCACAAAATAAGGATTTGGCTCCAAATTCGGCAGACCTGAAATGCTTCCAATTGATTAGACTAGATTAGAAAGTTGAAAACAAAGCCCATTCTTGTAAATTGTTGTTGTTTACAGTACTTCGCTAAAATGAACAAGCTCGCTAACTGCGGCTAAAAATAGGCAACACCGTGGTCCGTCCCTAAAGAGACGCCCAGTAGGCTGGTTGGATTGTTAATCCACAGCGTGAAGACTCGCGTACTCCACAACTGCAGCTAAAAATAGACAACACCGCGGTCCGTCCCTAAAGAGACCTGCCCAGTGGGCTGATCGGATCATTAATCCACAGCAAGAACACAGATACTGTATATACTATGCCAAAAATAACTTGTTACATGCATTACAAGTGGGTGGTCTTCACATGCGATGGGTGATTGGTTGGATTGGTTGTTGCTGGGCAAAAAATAACCTACGACGTCAAGAAAGTTTAGGCAAAGGCTGGCCTAGCTCAATGTAAGACCAAAATATGGCCTCGCTAGCTAAGCCCTTAGGCCTACTAATTAGGGTATTCCCTTCCCTTTGATGTTCGAGTAAACTCTGATTTCTTCAACGGAATATATTTTTGGATAGCCCATTAATCATAGGGCAATTGTTGCAGTTGTTCTCTTCCACTTTAAAAAAAAGCGATAGTCATTTTCGTTCTGTTCATGCACACGGGAATCCCCGGGTATAATCCCACCCCCTCAAAATCAGACCAATTTCGTGTTCATGGGGGGTGGGATTGTACCCGGGGAACTACGGTATATATATATATATATATATACTACCTTTATTCGGCTCTTAGGGGGAAACTCTTTTGTCTATGATTTCGCCTTAACGTCGCTTTAGTTTCCCCTTAGCGACACTACTTTCGCCTTAAGGTACTGTTTTTAACCCACTTCATTTTTTTAGTTTCCCCCTATGGATACTTCTTAACATGTATATATTAAATATATATATAAATAAGCAATACGAAAAAGAAACGATTGCATACGTTGACATTATAGAGACAAAATTTATTCAAAACGAATATTTTGGACATGCCTGTGTCCTTCCTCAGCGTTACACGTAAGACTGAAAAATGCAGAGCAATTCAAATAAAAACTGTTAAAAGTTAAGCAAGATAAATCCTAAGATATTAGGCACGCAATTAGTAACTGAGAAGTAATTAACTAATAAACTGTCAGCGAAATTTAAAAGCGTTGGCGGTAAAGAAGTCTATGATAAACAATAGAGTGAAATAAACAAGATGTCTTCAATGTAAGAATCAAAATGCACACAGCAATTGAAATAGAGACAGTGTGTCTATATAGACGAAGAAACTATAATGATTGATATTATTATAATGCTAATATAAAGTGAAAATATAATAATTATTATTATTCTATTATAATTATTACTATTATAATAACTGTTATAATTATTATTATTATTATTATTATTACTGGGTTTGAAATAACGCCGGTCTGCCGGCCAATGGCTAGTAAAATGCATGGCGGACCTGTTAATTATCCCAATAACAAGTCCGCATGACCAGTTAAAATGTCAATGAAAGTCTGACGAAATACCTAAAGCTTTACTCATTCAGCTCTTAACGAGGTCTTTACAAAATATTTCACACAGATAATGTCAACAAGATCGCTATTTTTTGTTTAATGTCATGTTAATGTCCACTACGAACAGCCTTGGGCTCAGTCATTCAAGGCGAACCGATGAACATCACGCACTAGCTAGACCATGGAGGAATCCATGGCTAGACGTACAGAGGGAAATCACCTTCTCCGCATGTTATAGCGACAAGGAGAAGTTAATTTTCATCTGTGTGAGCACTGTGAAGTTAAAACATCCATGTCATGTATCTATCCCACAATGCAACGTGGGACAAAAAGTTAATAAACAACGCAACGATTTTCAGACGAAATAATGCAATAATCACACCCTGTGACTAAACCGTTCGTACAGTCCCAATAGCATTGCCATGGAGATTATCTATAAATTAGAATGACACACCAGTAAAATATTAGATAAAGTGAAAGGTACGCCTTCCATTGTTTTACTAAAGTGCATTATCGCCTTATGAATACTTAAAAATCAAATGTAATCAATCTGAAATGAAAAAGGAACTCAAAGCAATTGTTTCTATGACGGCTCTTTTTTAGTAGACGTTTAATTCGGATTTGGTATGTCATTAGATTCATATATCAGTCTACATGTAAATTACACTCACATTCCCCAAAACATTGCTAATTATGGAGGGAATTTGCAGAGAATGAAATTTAAATTTGTTAGATTTATTTTTAGATTTGACTCTAAAACAAAACCATGGGGGGGGTTTCTTATTCATTTTAATAAATTTGTTTAATTAAAAATTTATCGGTTTACACTATAAGCTTCTTCCTGTCAGCAAGCTGTCATGCACTATGAAACTTTGGGCGATCTGATTTCACCACAGCCAAGCACATGGGATTTTTGCCCAGCCACATGACCCCACGAAAAAAATTAACCAATTAGCAGGCAGAGTTTAGGAGGTGCGACCTGATATAACAAGTCGCATCGCAACCACGAAGAATGTGTTGTCTTTGAAAAAATGTCAGACCGAAAATGCACGTAAAAACAATAAAACAATATAAAAGCATTGTTTTTATTGTACAGTAATAAAATTTGCTGTGCACTACAGCTAAACAACAGGTAATAATAATAATAATACAGGTACTGTATGTATTATATGTTTAATGTTAACTTTTCGTACGGTAGTCATACTGAATTCACTGGGCTATGCTAAGCCTATTTTTAGCATCTAGGCTAGGCCCTAACTGGCCTGCCTTATTTGGAAAGGATTCAATAGAAATGTTCCACAAACCGATCTTTCGGGAAAACATCGTATTGTGAGAATGCACTGTACATACAAATAGATTTCTGTATTTATATTTCGCGGCATAATCTAATACAGAGACAACAGAACGATTTTTCTGTATCTGTTAGTGTTAATTCATCGGTGAGGGGCAGCATGATTAGCATGTCAAAAATATGGTATTTGGGCTTTTCGAAGTTAGCAAGATAGTGGCTAGTGAAACGGATTGAGGACCAGTAAAAATATGA